GTGGGGATGCTTGTCCCTCTTCACTCTTGATGGGCAAAGGCCCCACCACGCCCTGGGGAAGGGACAACAGAAGGCAGCTGGGTCCCCCCTGGACTTGACGCCCTCCAAGGGGGCAGGCGAGGAGGGGGAGACGGAGGCAGAGCCCAAGAGCCCAGAGCCTCACCCGGCCTCTGTCCCGCTCGCCCGGCCTCTGTCCCGCTCGCCCGGCCTCTGTCCCGCTCGCCCGGCCTCTGTCCTGCTACAGCTGCTGGCCTCAGGCACTTCGGCGGTGGGCGGGGTCGGGGCACTCCTAGAGCTCGGGCAGAGTCATCCGAGTTCAGCCTCTCCACGGGACAGCTGAGAACGCGGGCTATTTATACTGGCATGGTGGGCAGGCGGGCAGCTGGGGAGACACATGCAGCCCCGGAGCCATATCTGGGCATGACAGAGGGCATCGGCTTGCCAGGATGACAAGGGCCACACGGTGCAACTGTCCTTGGCGTCCTTCAACCTCAAAACGTCCTCACGGGGCCCCCCGGGACGGGTTCCAGGGACAGCTGCCTTCTACCCCCTCTCCTGCCACTGTTAAAAATATTCTGGGTCATTGTCCCAATCATCCCAGAAATCGCCCTCCATGCACGCCCATGCAAGCGCGCGCACACACACACACACGAGCACACACACGCGTGCGCACACACACACACACACCCCTGCCTCCAGTCCCAGCCAAGGAGTCGACCCTGTGAGGAGTGGACCCCAGCCTCCCACCGCCAGGGCTTCTGGGTGACCCCCTCCTGGCCAGGGAGCAGCCAGTGACCTCTGCACCCAGCACTCCTGAAACAGAGCTCTCTCTCTCCCCCATGTTCTCTCCCTGGGGTGGACACAGGAGGCCTGAGAGGCCCAGTGTGCCCCCAGCATCTCTGTCCCTCAGATCACACACTTGCACCCCACAGGGGCAGCCCGCCTGGTGCAGGGAGCAGACCTGGCCTGAGGCTTAGTGGTGCCTCTGAAACCCGGGTGAATCGGTGGAGCTCACAGCGCCTTTGCGGTGACCACTGTGTGGGAACCTCAGCCCCGTGTCCCTCTATCTAAGGGACCGGCGGTGGAGCTGTCAGAGGTGGCCCTCTGATCCCTGCCCTTGAGACGCGCAGCCCTGCATGCTGCCTGCGGTGCTCTGCAGCGTCCTGGGCGGCAGCTCTGCAGCAGCTTGCCCTGCTCCTCTGCTGCAGTCACCGCCCCTCCCCATCAGCAGGACGGGCTTCCAGGGTCAGAGCTGGCTGGGGACTCTGAACACTAAAAGCAGAGTCCTCCCCAAAGGCAGAGTCCTCCCTGGGCACCCGGGGGCCTCCGGAGAGGGCCCTCCCAGCCCCAAGCTCTGGCCAGCTGGGCCTTGGACCTCAGGAAGGAGCGGACAGCACGAGGCTCTGGGAGCTGCTAATGCTGTCACGGGTGCCTTCCCTTCCCAAAAGCCATGCCCACCTCTTCCTGGGTGCGATGCCTCCAGTTCACAGGGACAGAGGCTGCTGGTTGGTCAAGGACAGTGGGCAAGGCCAGGGCCCCTCACAAAGCCCTGTGCTCCTGTCCAAGAGCCTCCCTTGCCGGGGCCCAAGCCCAGTCACCCCGAGGTCAGTGTCCTGCCCAGAGGCATCAAAAGCGGGAGCAGGACTGCAGAGAGCGCGGGAGGCCTCTGCAATCGGACGTGCATGGCGGGGCTGAGTCAGCACAAAGCCTCTCAGATTGCCAGGTTACCCTTTATGTGAAGGTGGCAGCAACTCACGCGATCGCACTGCCCCGTCCACCTCCGGCCATCCCAGCCTGGAAACCCTCCAGGCCAGCACTGCTCAGCCACACCCTGGTCCTGAAGATGGCTCGGGCCACTCAGGTTCCCTCAGTTTTACTTTAGAGCATTTTTGGGGTAAAATTTGCAATTCAAGCGATGTTCATTTTGATTGACTCCGGCTGCAGCAGCTAAAATATCTGTCCTGTGGGTCAATCTAATCATGCTTAATAGCAGTTTATTCCTCGATGCAATGTTTCTCATGTGAGCCCGACAGTTTCACAGAGAGTGCCGACGCACCTCTCGCAAATGCTCTCACCAGCCCCTGTGCCTGCTTTGAATGCTTGTGCAATAAAATGCTTTATCGCACTTGATGAATGCACTAGTACCAGAATCACCGGTGACTCCCTCTTTAGAAGGGGGTGCCACCATGTCCTTGGCCACCTGGCTGCAGAAATGGAAGACCACTCATCGCGACACACGCGTGCAGGCAGCGGCGGGGCTGTCCCTTCCCAAAGGCCACCCTTCTCCTTCACACAAGCTCCAGGACCCAGAGCTGGTCCCACTCACGGGTGGAAACAGCACCTGGAGCGTGGCTAGCTTTTGAGCCGTAGGATAGAAAAATGTAACTAATTTGGTTCGCTGAATTTATGGGCTCCACAATCTCTGCAGCGACTGTTTCCACCAGCAGGAGCCTGGCCCACCCTCTAATCACCGTGGGGCAGTTTCCAGAGTGTTCTGGGAAACCCGGGAGCCTACACCTGGTGCTACCTGCTCCAGGGAGTGAGAGACACGGGCACTGTCCGCCTCCTCATGGCCCCCTGGATTCCCACCTGGATTCCCACCTGGATTCCCAAGCTGGCAGGCAAGTCCCAAGGGGGTGGGCGTCCGTGTCCAGCCCCCTCAGCCCAATCCAGGCTCCTTTCCCTCTGGGAGTCCCGGCCCCCATGGCAGCGTACCTAAGTGGTCTCAGGAGAGTCCCTGTGGGCAAGACATGCCAGTGAGGGTCCGTGCCCCTACCCTGCCCGCTCTCCCCTCCCTCAAATGGACAGGCACAAAGACCCCCACAGACGAAAGTGCCAGCATGTCCATGCTCCATGCCAGTTTGGGGCTCCCTTCCTGGCTGCTGCCCGGGAGCCAAGCTTCGGAGATTCATGCGTGGGAGACTCCAGCCCCGGGTCCCAGTGTCTCTAGGAAAGCAGCAGGATCCCTGGGGAGCACCGTCAGGCCACACGTGCCGGGGAGCGGGGTTCGGGCTGCCAGGGGCGGTGCCCGTGCGATGCTCATTTTTAATTCAGCGGATCCGAGACTGGGGGTGATTTACAGCCGAGCAGGCCGCAGCTCTCTCCCTGTGAACTCTCTAGTTTTACTGCTCAGTCAAACCTAATTCCAAAACACTAATGCTTTTATTTAAACACCACATCCTGCAATAAAGCTTTAATGCACGACAGCCGCATCTAGGGGAAGAGAACGGTGTGTCTGTGGCCACCGGCAACCTCGGTGGCCACACACCCGGCTACTTCCCTCCCTGTGGCCGGAGCTGGAAGCAGGCAGGGAAGAGATGACGTCAGCGGATGCTGGGCACTGACCCTCTGGGTCCAGAGGCTGAGAGGAGGCTGTGCCCAAGGTCAACACCCGCTCCCTTGTTGCTACACCAGATGGGGCCGAGGCTGGGAGAACGAAGCTTCCAGAAGGAAGACTTGAAGGCCAGGAGCCCTGACTGCCAGGCCCTCCCCTCCAATCACCTGGAGGCTCTCTGAGGGGTGGGAGCCTCCTGAAAGCTCAGAACGGCCTGATCCCTTTACTCAGCACTCCCTGTGCTGGCCCCAGCTGCTCAGGTGATCTGGCTGCCCCCAGACCCAAGGCCTCGAGCTGCTGCAGGAGGGGGCTGACTGCCTGTCCCTTCCCGCCCCATTCCTGCTGGAGGCCAGGGTGCGGGAGATAGGGCGCAGGGGCACCTGCTGTGGCCGGAGCAGTGCCAAGGCAGGAGGACATACACTCCGGAAATTAATCCTGAGGCCTGTGGGGGGGTGGGGGTGCCCAGGCAGGGACCTGGCCTCATCCCAGGTGGCAAACGCCTCCAATCTGAGACTCAGAAACGAAGCCAGGCAAACGCCCCTCACACAGTGGCCCAGCCCCTGCCTACGACCCCGCTACCAAGGAGAGGATGGGAACCCGCTACCCATCCTCTCCTTGAAGGACCAGCACTGGGGGGAAAAGGGTTTCACGGACGGATCCTGACCTGTCCTCATCCCCTGGGCCCCAGGACATCCTCCCAGTCCTTTCTCGGGTCGGGACTGGGATGGCGGCAGAGCAGGTGGCTCTCAGGCCCCCGACGGGCGGTGCGAGGTGCCCTGGGCCACACACCGCTTTCTGCCAAAGCCTCACCTGCATTCACAGCAAAACATGCCTCAGCTTGGATTCGGCGGAACAGAGAGCTGAACCGGGGCTTTGGCGGGGGTACAGGTGGGGGCGGCATGAGCCGGAGACATTTGGCAAAATCGAATGGCTCCCAGGCCCCTGGGATGGGCTGTGGGTTCAGAGCTACACAGACTCAGCTCCTCTGGCCCTGTCCAGGTGCCCTCAGCAGAGGAGTGGGGCCTAAGGGCAGCGGTGGCCCTGACCCTGCCCGCGTCCCCAGCATCTCCTCGTGCAGGCTGTGCCCTCCTTGGAGGCTACATGCCTCCAAGTTCCTCTGCCTTGCCCTGCGACCGGGAGGACTGGACCCAGGCACAAGACATGTCTTCCCTCCACAGCCTCTCCCACGTGCTGCCCAGCCCCTCCCTCCTTCCTGCATCCAGCCACCTGCCCCTTTTCAAACTTGCTCTTGTCTTGTGCCTCTGAGCAGTTTCTGCCCTGGCCACAAGCGGCCCTTTCTGCTGGCCGATGGCCTCTTCCAGGGCGGCCATCAGTGGAGCCCCCAGAGCCGCCGCCATCACTCTGTGCTCTCCAGCCAAGGCCCCGACCCCCCAGCCCTCACCAGCCCCGCGTCGGACCCCATGCCTGCTGGAGGCCGCCTCCCCTCTGCCGCAGTCAGCAAGCTGAATATTTAATGTCTGGTGAGCACTTCCACCTGCTGACATAGGCAAAGTGACAGAACAATGCTGGCGGGGACATGACCGTCCACCAACGCCCAGGCAGCCTGCCGCCCCGGGCTCACCCCCGCCACAGCCGCCTGGCTGGCTGTCGGCCCCAGCGGCCCCCGTGGCGTGGAGTGCCCCTCAGTGCGGCGAGAGAGTTCCCGGCCTGAGATACATACTTCTTTACATTCCATAGCTTAGCAGGTCCATATGGGCATATAAAGAAGTATGTTTCCCAAGCAGGCAGTCAGTATGTAGTTCCAAGACCTCGGGACGCCGCCCGGGTCGAAGCTGACCCCACTGCGATGTAGAGAAGGCAGCTCAGAGGCGGTGGAACTTCTTCCCTGGCATCCACTGCTGGCGCCCTCTCTGTGAGCAGGACAGCCTTCCTGCCACTGCTGCCTGGTGTCCAGCCACCCCCAGGGGCCCAGGGCTTCCTGCTCCCTTCTGACCTCGGCGCCCCTCCATCCCTGAATCCACCTCTCTCTCTGTCTGTCTCACACACTCGCACGATCCAGAAAGGCAGAAGTGGACAGTGAGCCCCAGAAAGTCTCGAGCGCCTGTCCCTGGCCCCAGCAGTAGCTCGGTTTTGCATCCATGGAAGAAACCGGCTGCCCCTCCACCCTCACCCCAGAGCAGGGAGGCACCATCCACGTCCCGAACTTTCAGAGCCAGCACTTTCCTTGGGCCCCCTTGTCCCAGCCAGGCCCAGAGAGGGGGCACCCCCCCCAGCACCCCACTCACAGGACCAGCCTCCTCTTTCTCTGGGAGCTGGACAACTCCTTGCTCCCAAGGCCAGACGAGGGACTACGAACCAGAGACCCGAGAGGTGCCCTGGGGCCTTACCTGGGCAGCTGGCGGTTTCCTGGGCAGGTCCCTGGTGAAGGCTGCCTCCCGGGATGCTGTGTCCCTGAGAGAGGGCTCAGTACCTCTCTCTGAAGATGTGAGCGAGGAAGACGATGCTTGGAGGATTCCAGGTTCCCAGAGAGTGGCTGGGATCTCCTGAGAGGCCGTCCACTAGGGGTGCAACTCCCTAGGTGCCTCAGCCTGGCCTCAGCAGGCGCCCAGTGGGCGAGGGAGCGTCTCTCCCCCGGTTCTCTCCCTCCTTCTCTTGCTCTTCTTCACCCTCTCCCCTGCCCCCGCCTCGCAGCGTCACCACCCCAAACCGCCGCGCAGTGCGGCCCACCTGAAGCGGCAGCTGCGCAGAGCCAGCAGCTCACACGGGCACCGGGGGTCAGCAGCTACCGTCACCTGCCCAGCACCACTGCTGTGGCACCCCCGGGAGGCTGGTCCCACACCTGGCTCTTTGTGGCCGGCCGCCCAGCCTCCACCAGCCCCTACCAGCCCCTGATCAATACCAATTTACAGTCAAATGCGGGGGGCCGCCTTCCTGTTAATGAATTTCCCGGTGCTCACCAGCTCCTAATGAGCCTGTTAAAGAGGGTTTAAGTAAACTTAGCAAGTGGCAAACTAAGCACTTTGGAATACTTAATTGTATCGATATGTTTTTCATTGCGTTTAAAAATGTCTCTGAGTGGGAAGCAGAGGATCCCTCCTTCCCTGCCAACTTCTATGACCAGCTGTGAAGCCAGAGTCTGAAAAATGTGGAGGAAGAACCTGAAGGAGACCAATGGGACCTCAAGGTTAGGCCCTCACCAGCAGGAAGGAAAGCCATCCCTAACCTGCTGGGAGCAGGGAGAGGAGGAGGAAAAGGAAGAGGAGGAGGAGGAGGAGGAGGAAGAGGCCTGCAGGGTTTCCAGGCCTCACAGTGTCCCAGGGTGAGCCTGGCACATGAGGTGGTGAGAGGTGGAAAGAAGGCTTTGCAGGTGCCTGGTGGGGATGGGGGCCAGGGAGGCGCCAGTGGGGGGTGCAGGCCGGGCACAGACACAGGGGACTTGCTGAGTGGCAGGGCCCAGCTGGGCCCTGGCCCCTGTCCTGGCACTGACCCTGGCGTGGGTTGGGACAGCAGCTCCGGGACATGAAAGGACCTCCCATTGTCCTCGTCAGGAAGAGAGGTCCAGCATGACTGTTGCTCCTCCAGGCAGCCCGTCCCTGCGAGGGGACAGCCCTGAGCGAATTGGTTCTCTTCTACCACCCAGGGCAGGGCAACGTCTCCGCAGAGCCTGCAGTGTGCAGAGGCCACTGAGCATGCTGTGGCTGTGTGGCTGTGGGTCTGCAGCCAGGCATGGCTGGGTTGGAGTTTCACGTGGGGGTGGGGGATGGGGGTTGTGCTTAAGGCTCTGGCATCCCCTCTACAGAGGAAAGAGCAAATGGCAGAAAGAAGCAGAAGCTGATGTCCCATTTCCATGTAGCTGCTGTGATTTATCATTTTCACATAGCCAAGGATACAAAAAGGGCAGCCTGAGCTTCAACTTCGGGGGCACCCGGGTTCCACCACTCATCTGTGCCCTCCCAAGGCCTCCGCAATAACTGGGCTCGGAGTCCAGGGAAGAGGCCTCCTCAACGTCACCGGCTCCCTGGCACACGAGCCCTCAGAGCCTGGGACACTCCTGCAGCCTGGCTCAAGCCCTCCCCACCGCTGAGGCATTCATTTGGATGGGGTCTGGGGGTCAAGGGGAAAGTTGGGAGTCCCAAAGGGCAGGAGAGTCACCCCAGACCCAGCCAGAGCCCAAGGACTTCTGCCCACCCACAAATGAATTGTAGTCACTTTTCAAAAAGTTTCCCATCTGGATAGAAAAAGAGCACCCAGCCACCTCCAGGCAGACCCCACCGTGAACCGAGCTGGCTCCTGGTGCCCGGGGCCTCGTCCCGGGGCTCTTCAGAGGTGAATGCCACCCGGCCCCCAGCATCAGCCCCGCGGGAGGCCACGCGGAAGTCAAGCTCCTCAGCAGGGACCCGCACAGACGCAGACCACCAGGGCTGCTCTCCCCAAAGCCCCCCTAGTCTCCGCCCACGTGTGCCCCCCTCCCCCCGCGCCCTGCCCCTGTAAACGCCTCCTGACCCTGACGTGGCTGGGCGAGCTGCAGAAGTGCCGAGTCCGACCAGGGGCAGCCTCGCCCGCCGCTCAGCTCGGGAATCCCCGCCCCCCACCAGCACCTCAGTGGGGGGTACCGCAAGTTCAAGGTAAGTTTAGCCCCATGCCCGGCTGCCGGGGCTTTGTTGCAAAGCGGCAGGTGAATCGCGCCCCCCACCCAGCCCCGAAGCCCCCGTGCCATCCGCTGCCCGCGTGGGGGGTGGCTGCTTTCTTGCAAAATGCCCGCAAGTCAAAGTTCCTGCCTCCCAGCTGGACGCGCCCTCCCGGCCCTGCCGGCTGCTGGCTCTGCAGTTTTCCAAATGTGGATGCTGCCGCGAGCCAAGAGAAAACTCCACGGCACCCCCGCCGGAGCCGCACGGCGCTGGCACCCACACGGCGCCGGCACCCGCAGCACCCACCGCGCCGGCAGGCACACCCCCACCGCGGTGCCCGGCAAGTTTTCAGGGGCCGTCCCGGCGGCCCAGCGGTGGTGATGGGCTGAGCAGGACTCACCGCGGAGCCCAGGGCACCCCTGGGGCCGGGCTGGTGACAGCGGCAGCGGCGGCCGGCGCAGGGTCGCGGCTCCCTAGGAGATGCTGCAGCGGCGGCAGCACCAGCCACCTCCTCCGGGAGCCAATCCCGAATGCAGGGGTGGGGGCCGGAGCTCGATGCGTCCGCACTTGGGGGTGGGGGGGCAGAGAGAGAAAGAAGACACCAGGCACCCCCTCTCCACACCCCTGCCCTTCCCCCAGCCCTCCTGCAGCAGAGCAGACTTAGCGGGAGGGAGATCTTGAGAGAGAGAAAGAGAGAGAGAGAGAGAGAGAGAGAGAGAGAGAGAGAGAGAGAGAGAGGAGGCGCTGGTGCAGAGTTAGGGAGAGGCGGCCGAGCTGCACACCTTGAGTCCTGGCCTCCTCCGCAGGGAGCCCCTGCACCCCAGCGGGGTCAGCACAAGGTAGAGAAGGTAGAGGTCAGGGTGGAACAAAAGGGAAGGTCCCGCGGGTGTGCACGCTCTCGCAGGCACACAGCCGGCTCGCGTAGACACAGGGGCGGGGGAGGGGAGGGGAGGGGAGGGCCTGACCTGAGAGGCCAGAGCGGGCATGGGGGCCCCCGTCGGGTCAGGAGCCGGCCTCACCTTTGCAGTTCTTATATACCCGGCCAAGCATCCCAAACACGCGGCCCTGGCCAAGTGGCCCCCTCGGGCTGCGCTCCCTGACCATATTTAGTCAAGCACGGGAAAAAATAGCCTGTCAGCTGGGCCGCGGCTGGCCCGGCCACCGGGAACAGGGTGGGAGCACCCACGCCATTGACGGCGGGTCCTGGGCCCAGGCTGCTGTTCTGCCCCTCCCGGCCCCTCCCTGACAGGCCTCCCACCGGCTGTCCCTGCCCGAGATCCCCCCGCTATTTTTAGCCCAGCCAGTACAGAGGCGCCTCCTCAGTAGCCGGGCAGCAGCCTCCATACCATGCCAGCCGGCTCCTAGGGTGCCCTGGGGAGACCCGGGCATCTCCCAGGGTGCAGGGCCGGGGGTTGGGAGGGCAGGAGGCTACAGCCTCCTTCACGGTTTTGAGCCTCCAGTGGGCTGAGCCCACCACCCAGGCCATCCAGGAGGGGGTGGCCCCCTCCACAGTCCCGTCAGCTCTGCCCTTTCGCCTAGAATCGGGGCCAGGATCAGGTGGTGATGGAGCCACCTGGGTTTCCGGAGACTCTTAAGCTAACCCAAGTCATGACAAATGCCAGTCACCTTGGACAGAGGCGAGGCCAACCTGCTTGCCGCCCCCAGCCGGGCCCTGCCACCAAGGGTGTGTGATGGGGAGACCCCACTCCCCGGTGCTGGTCGGGCTCAGGAGCTCCCCCTTCCGGGATTTCACGCCTGAATTATGTAACAGACGAGAGCCTGGGACGGGGCCTGACGGGGATCTGTCCTTGCAGGGCCTGGACTCAGAGACCAGAGGCCGGAACTGGCAGACTGTCCTCACAGGCTGTGTGATGCTGGCTGGTCGTCCCATCTCTCCAGGGCCCCACAGGACCAGGGACCGGGACACGGAAGGACAGTGGACCACAGTGGTCGGGGGACCCGCCTGTTGGAGGCAGGTGCAGGCCCGTGTGGTGGGGACAATGAGCTTTGCTATTTGCAAGTCCTGTCCAGAGCATAGATCCTCCTGTTCAGAAGCCACCTCATTAATGTCCCCAATACCTCCCCGACTTAGGAAGGCATCCCCTTGCGGTTCCAGCCAGTCAGGGACACAGGGCCGGGGATCCCATGCCGCTTAGAACAGGTTCAGCTGCATCTAATCCCAGGGGACCCTGTGAGGAACCTACATACCCTCCAGGCTGGCCCACAGGAGCTGAGGTGGGTCTCTCCTCCAGGTTTACCTCCTGGGCTCATGGCCCCTTCCCCATATCCCAAGGCCAGCTCTGCAGAGTCATGGGGAGAAGCCAGAGCCCCAGCCACACTCGCCACACACACCAACGCCCACTCTGGTGTCCTCCGGCCAGCGACAGCGAGGGACAGAGCGGCGCTCCCTGCACCTGCCCAGTCCGGAGGCTTCTTGGGTGATGACAGGCCCTGCTCCCGGCCCCACACACCCCACTAAAGACCCCACGTCTCACCATAAAGGAGGCCAGGAGGTTTTAAGCTTCTACCAGGTCCAAGCACTTTCCTGGAAACTAAATAGCTTCCCACTGGCAGCCGGAGTGCGTGGTGTGAGGGGCGGTGTCCGAACTCCCCCTGCAAGGCCCCTCCCCTGCACCCCACTTCCTCCGGCCTGCCATCTCCAGGCAGAGTTGAGGGGGGCAGGCCAGGCCTGCAGCTGGGGTCAGGGTTATAGACAGCCACAGCGGGGGAGGTGGGGAGCAGTCTGTAGCCTGTGCAGGAGGCTCTGTAAAGGATTCGGGTGCTCCGTGGTGGTGAGAGAGAGGGTGTGCAGCGGACGTGGCCATAAATCACCCTCCTCACAGCAGCCCCACACCCAAGGAGCAGGGCATGGGCACAGGGCCATCTCTTCCCAGTAGAAGGGCTGGTGTTGGTGGTCAGACCCCGACGGTCCTTAGGGTCCGTAGGACAGAGTCAGAAGACAGAGCAGTTCCTTCGTTTACCCACAGCACCAGCCTCACAGTAACAGCCGGCACACAGCACTTAGGCTGCCTGGTGTTCCAGAAGCTTCTGCAGTGGCTATGCGGGGACTATGCTGAGCTCAAGGCACCCATAAGAGGAGGGCATTTTGCTGTCCCCACTTTACCAAGAAGGAACTGGGGCTTGGGGTGGGTGCTCACTAGCCCAAGGTCCCACACCCAGCATCGATTGGAGCTGGGTGTGTTACGGCCAATCTGGTCCCCACCTTGTCCCAGAGCTGCCCTTGCCAAGGCCCAGGGCCATGCTGCCCGAGGCCCACTCCACCATGGTTTGAAAGGGAGACCACAGTGGGTGGGAGAGACAGGAGGAGGGGAGAGGGGAGAGAAGGGGGAGATGGGGTAGAGGGGGCAGAAGGGGAAGAGAGGGGAGAGAGGCCTGGGCCCCTGAGACTTTCCCCTTGGTGTCCACAGGCGGTTTGAGGCGTGAATGAATGAAGGAGCAAGCAGTAAACCCCGACAACAAGGCCACCACAGCCCTCACCCGACTGAGACGCCCGAGCAAGGACCCAAGCAGGGGACGAGCAGGCTTACCCCCCCCTCGCCAGGCTGACCATGATGCCCCATCCGGTGGAACGCGCCATGCCCTGCCCCATCCCACGCGGCTCCCGCTGGCCACGAGTGGCTGCCAAGCTCTCAGAAACGGGGCTGGTGCCCTGCAGACCTGGATGTTTTACTCAGTGCAGCTTTGATTTGTGTCAGCTTCAGAAGGCTCATGTAGCTGGGGCTGTATCAGTCAGCAGGGGGGAGAGAAAATGCACAGCCCCGGGAATGTGGAGACAGGCCCAGCCCTGGGCACGGGGGCCGGAAGGAGCAACTGGGGAGCAGCGAGCAGGGCCTGGGGCGGCCTTGCAGGTCAGAGGTCAGGGAAGGCCTGAGTGGGGGTGAATGAACAGGTCCCCCAGTGATATTGGAGGGGCAGCGGGGAAGGGTCCCGGAAGAGCATCCTGGGGAGTGTGCACAGGGAGACAGAGGCCCGGAGGCAGGAAGGGGGGCCTGGTGTGTCCAGCGGGCAGAGCCGCTGGAAACAGGAGGCCAGCATGGCTGCTGCCGGGGCAGTGGCGGTGGATGGGTGGCCTGGGGCTGAGCTGCGGACAGGGTCAGACCACGCCAGGCCTTGTACACCAGTGCCAGGGCTGCAGGTGTCCTGCTGAGGGGCACAGGCCTGGACAGTCTGGCACGTCTGTGGCAGGGCCCCTGTGGCTGCTCTGCTGAGGGTGAGGGTGGAGGGCAGAGGTTGGAGTATCAGGAGGCCCTGCCCAGCCACGGTGCCCTGGGGAGGGCTGCCCAGTCCCGGCTGTGCCTTGAAAGTTTTCCCGAAAGATCCACTGTTGGAGCAGATGTGGTCACAAGAGCAAGGGGGATGTCAGATGGTCTGGGCCCTGGGGAAACAGGGTGCATCCCCTGGGAGGGGGACGGCCTGTCACCAGGGCGCCTTCCGAGACCATTTTGCAGGTGATGAAACTGAGACTCAGGAGGAAAATCCAGTTGCCCAGCATGCAAAGACCCAGAGCCTATCTTCCTGCCCCTACATCCCTGTCCGTCCCAGATCTGAACCTGCCCCAGCCCCAGGACTCTTAAGTGCATCCAGAGGGGAGCCAGGCTGGAGAGTGGGGAGCACAGAGACTGTGGCCTGGATGGTGCCAGAGCGAACGGGAGAAAGGCTCCCCCACGCAGAGGCTGCGGCACAGCCCAGAGGGTCCTGGGGTTGGCTGGGCGGGGGCAGCTCCCAGCGAGAGGCCCCTGGGATTTGGGTAAGTGGAGGCACATGCAGACTCTGGCCACAGGGCACCTCGCACACGAGGGGAGTTCACCACACAATTTGAGCGGAGGGCGGGCGCAGGAGAGCAGCGGTGTCCCAGAAGCCAAGGGTGGTCATGGAGCCCCACGCCACAGCGCTTCCTACAGGGACACACCATCCGGTCTGTGGAGGGGGCTGCATTGCTGGGAGGGACCCACCTGATCCCGGATTCCAGCCTCACCCTGGGTCACCGCTGAGTGTCCCAAGTGGCCCCTTATCCCCCAGGGCCGGGCGGCGTCCCAACCCCCTTGGGATGTCTGTGCTCAGAGTGTGGCAGACACGCCCCGGCAGGGACATCCTCCTCCCCTGCACCCGCCACAGCCGTGGGTTCAGGGTCTCTATTGTGGGCAGAGATTCACACAGTCAAGGTGAGGGTCCCAGGAGCACCTGTGACCAGGCCCTGGCTGCCAGGGAGAGGGGGACCCTTAACCGACGGGGCAGACAACCTGAGATGGACCCTCGTCCAGGGGAGGGCCCCGCCGCCCACAACTCCTTGGCATTCCTGCACCAGCAGGACGGGCTGGAGGAGGCGGCCCCGGGGCGCCTCGCCGGTGTCAGTGCCCAGCATCACTGTGCCCCGGTGGAGGGGGAGGCCCTTCCGAGCCTGGGCCTGGATGTGAATGAGGGCAGGTTTCTCATCTCTCTGACCTCAGCTTCCTCAACTGGGAAGGGGAGCCACAGCACCTGCTTGGGGTGATGAGGAAGGGGGAGCTCAGGGAGAGCCCTGGGCAGGGCTGCCTCCTCACCTTCCTTCAGCCTTTGGACATGAGCGCAGAGGACCAAGTGAATGAATGAATGACTCAGTCAATCAACTGATCCATCAGTCTATGGATCTCTGGACAGTCGGACAGCTGGGCAGCGGGCAGGATGGGGGACTCTCGCTGAAGCCGCATTCATTTGTGTTCAGCTTTGTGAGTGGGGCGAGGCTGAGGGCTTATTCAGTGGGGGAGGTGCACGGCAGGGCCAGTGCCTTTGGAGGGTCAGGCCCCAGAGGGCGGGGACACCTGCCAGGATGCCCAACCCCAGAGGCGGTGGCAGCCATGGTCCCACTCGGCAGTGGCTGTGATGAGGGCTGTTCCCACTTTGTCCACACGATTCCAGCCGCAGCTGCCCCACACATGAGCTGTCCCTAGTCACCCAGCACGGCCGGACGAAGCCCCCTGCAGCCAAGGTGCTCCGTGGGGCGGGTTTCTCGAAGCTAGTATTTTCCATGGTATCTTACGTCCCAGCAGAGGCCCACCACTGTGCCCGGACCAGCGGCCCACTCGGTGAGTCGAACGTGCACCTGGCACCCCTCTTTTTGGAAATCCACGAACACTGGGCTCCCGCAGAGACTGAGGCTGAGCAGGCCACTTCCCTGGAGCTGACTCCACAGCTGTGTAGGTACAGGGTGGCCGTGAACACTTAGGGCTTTCTCAGGCTGTGCACTTCTTGTTCACTGCAGGGAGCAGGGTGTTGGCTCCTGACCAAGCCCTGTCACTGCTGCCCAGCCACACATGGGGCCCCTTCACCCACCCCTGACCACCTTATGCAGGGAAGCCACTGTGGAAACAGTCTGGCAGTCCCTCGAAAAATGAAGTCATCAACCCCAGCAATTCCACTCCTGGGCCTATGACAGAGCTTGCACGTCCCCTCCAAAGCTCATGTTTAGATGTGAGCCCCAGTGCTGGAGGTGGAGCCTGGTGTGTTTGGGTCCTGGGGGCGGATCCCTCATGGCTGGGTGCCGTGCACCCACTCACCACAGTGAGTTCTCACGAGATCTTGTTGTTGAAAAGTGTGTTGTACCTCCCCCACAATTCTCTGTCTTTTGTTCCGGCTCTGGCCATGCAACAAGCCTGCTCCTCTTTCACCTTCTGCCATGACTGTAAGCTTCCTGAGGGCTGACCAGAAGCCCAGCAGATGCCAGCACCATGCTTCCTATACAGCCTGCAGAACTGCAAGCAAACTAAACCTCTTCTCATGAATTACTCAGCTTCAGATTTATCTTTATAGCAATGCAAGACCTGACTATTACAACACATGCTCCCCAAAATAAAAAGAAATATTCAAACAAATAGGCACACAGGAGTCTTCCCAGTGGCACTATTCACAGCAGACAAAAGGTGGCAGTAGCCACAGGCCTGTCAGCTGATGATAGATAAAGAAAGCATGGCCTGTCATCCCAGCATTTTAGGAGGCCGAGGCGGGCGGATCACCTGAGGTCAGGAGTTCAAGACCAGCCTGGCCAACATGGTGAAACCCCGTCTCCACTAAAAATATGAAACTTAGCCAGGTGTGGTGATGAGCGCCTGTAGTACCAGCTACTCGGGAGGCTGAGGCAGGAGAATTGCTTGAACCCGGGAGGCAGAGGTTGCAGTGAGCTGAGATCATGCCATTGCACTGCAGCCTGGGTAACAGAGTGAGACTCTGTCTCTAAATAAATGAATAAATAAATGAAGTGCGGCATATCCATGCAGGGGAATAGCATTCAGCCCTAAAAAGGGATGATGTGGGGACACGGGCGGTAACATGAAGTGCCTGAAAACCCTGCTCGGTGGGAGAAGCAGACTCAGAGACCGCCGGTGGCACAATTCCGCTGATAGGAGATGCACAGAGCGGCAGCTCCATGGAGACAGAAAGCAGATTCCGCGGTGCGGGGGTGGGGAGAGGAATAGGAGTGACTGCCTAATGGGCTCCAGAGCTCCTCAGGGGGTGACAAAAGTGTCTGGGGAGTAGACAGAGGTGGTGGCTGCACAGTGTGGCAAATGCACTAAATGCCACTGAACCACACTCGTTAAAGTGATCATTTTATGTCACGTGCATTTCACCTGTTTTTTTTGAAAAAAAAAAAAAAAAAAAAAACCAGTTCAGAGTCCAGCCCCAACCCTCTCTCAGTGACCTCTGCCCTGGGACACAGGGCCACCCAGACCGTGAGCTTGGGCCCCCTCGGGCTGCCCACCGAGGAGGGGCAGCTACTGCTGAGGTCTGACCTTGCCTCTCCTGATGCCCCAGCCACACTTGGGAGAGAGGAAGGGTGGGGGGTGGCTGCCCTTCTGGCCAAAGACAACGTCCCAGGGCCAGTCACAGGCACAGCACAGCTGGATTTGGTGGGGAGGGGGGGGGGGGGGGGGGGGGGGGGGGGGGGGGGGGGGGGGGGGGGGGGGGGGGGGGGGGGCACAGCTGGATTTAAGGTGGAGGAGGGGCCACGGGTGAAGGGGCACAGGAGCCTCCAGGTCCCGGAGGGAGCAGTACCCGAATTCTCCCCAGGGCCTCCAGCAGCCAGCCCTGCCAACACCTGGACTTTAGATTTCTTTCCCTTTCGGAGCTGCAAGACAATAAACTGTGGCTTTCGTTACAGCAGCCATGGGAGACTCATGACCTCACCTGTCCCTCACACATCTTTCCGGGAGACCCTCCCAGCCCAGACGAGCATCGGTGGTGGGGCGGGGGGCGAGCAGAGCTCCCCTGGGAGACTCCCTGTCGCTGGCGTGGAGGAGGGGCCTCCCCACGGCCTCCGGAGGCCCCTGCTCCCTGTGCTCTGCAATTCCTGGCCAGCTCCTGTCCAGCAGGCACCATCACTGTGCCCCCGAGAGCTGTGCAGGGCTGCTCCGGGCCAGGGAAGACTGCTATGGGGAGACATTGGCCAGAATGAAGGGGCAGACGTGGAAGGGGGCTCAGTGCAGCTCTCAGGGGAGTCCGGGCAACTGGAGGATGCCGCTGCCCAGCCTCCAGGGGCTGTGCCCAAGGACCGGCCCCTCTGCTGGCCTGTCTGGCCATTGGGGGCTGGATCCACAGTCAGGCAGGGCTGGGCGGGCGGGACCTGTCCAGGGACAGGGAGCGCAGGGTGGGGCTGCAGACTGTGGTCCCTAGGCTGGCCCTGACCCCCCTCTGCCAAGGCCTCACTAAAGCATCTGGAGCTCTGCTCAGCACTGCTCACATGCGGCAACACGGAAGGGCCTGAGTGAGAGAAGCAGACACGGAGACCGCAGGCTGCAGGATTCCACTTACAGGAAATGCACAGAGTGGGCAGCTCCACGGAGACGGAAAGTGCCCAGGGAGTGTCCAGGCTCCTACCGATGGGCAGCTCCTCCCTGCCTGGCCTTTCACTGAGGCACATCAGGGGCCCGAGGGCACTCCTAAGAGTGATGTCGACAGTGGCTTCTGTGTCCATCAGATGGAGAGTGCGTCCAGCCTGCAGGACTTCTCAGAGCCTTTAAGAGGTCCCCGTGGACTCGTCCAAGCTCCCAGCAGGAGACGTGGCCTGCAGTGCTCTGCCACCGTCCCCTCTGCCTGCCCCACACCCCAGCACGCAGCTCACACAAGCATGAGGTGTCCTGCGGAGCTCCCAGGAGGCTGTGCACACCTGTGTGCCCCACAGAGCAGAGCTGTGTGTGAAGTGCCCGTGGGCACCCGGCATGTCCCACAACACTGCGAAAGGAACAGGACCTCACCATCCTCCCGCATCGTGCCTGGGAGGCCGCCTCCTGCCCAACCTCAGGGTACACAGGTGCACACGGAACCAAACAAATGTGCACGCACTACCTGAGTGGCAGTGGGCAAAGCCTCTCTGATAGCTCATGAAGAAAGTTCTATTTCATTGTCATGATGTTAGGGAAGAGCAATTTGCTTCCAGCCATAGACATCCCGTTCAGAATGGCGACAGCTTTGCCATCTCGGACTCAGGACACTTCTTGAGGCCCACGTGGCACTGCTTGGAGCCTCCAGCACGGGTCACTCAAAGGCTCTGGGTCAGCGCTGAGTGGCCTCCGGTACACCTACACCATCCATGAGTCCAACCAACCCAGAACCCCCGGGATACGGGGAGGACCCCGAGGGGCAAAGGACGTAAAACAGGGCCCTGGGGGCCCAGGCTGACCTCTGAGTTCTCCGGGCACCCCCGCCAGGACTCCGAAGGCTGGCTCCTCCTGCAGCATCCCTCTGCTTTCTGCCCCAGCTCAGTGTGGGCGTGGGTGTTGGGTGGGGGTGATAAGGGTTTCTCTCTGTCTGCCTGCTTCTCCTCTGTGGAGGACTCACACTGACCCATCCTAGAAGCAAATAAATGTCATTTCAAGTCAACAGAAGTGGGCAGCCTGGGCTCCTCTGAGCTGCCCACCCAAGCCCCTTGGAGCTGCAACTTTGTTCATCTTTGCAGGGGGTGAGTGGAAGAGCAAGGTCAGGGTTGGGGAGCAGTGCTGGGGCTGAGAGAGGAGCCCCCTCCATGGACATACCCATGGTGGGGACCCTCCCCAGCCCAGCACTGCTGGACAGTCAGGAATGGTGCCCAGCCCCCAGCCACTCAGGGCCGGTCCTGCAGGGGACAAGGACCACAGGCAGGGAAGGGAGCTGGCGGGTCCCTCACCCCAGGAAGTCCACTGGCTCTTGCAGAGGTATTTTTCTGGGTTGAGACAGATTTCCATTTCCAGGGAGAAAGGAGGGCCTGATCCTAGCCACCCACTTCTGTTCCCTGTGTCCTGGGCCACAGCGATGCTGTCAGCAAAGCCCCACGGCTCAGAGGGGACCTCTCATCCCTGCAGATTTCACCAGCGTCTCTCACAGCTGCCTCCAGCTCCAGAACCAAACAACACCTGGCCCCACTCTGGGGACCTATTCCCTGCCCCTCTCCCCACCCTGGGCACCTATTCCCTGCCCCTCTCCCCACCCTGGGCACCTATTCCCTGCCCCTCTCCCCACCCTGGGGACCTATTCCCTGTCCCTCTCCCCACCCTGGGCACCTATTCCCTGCCCCTCTCCCCACCCTGGGCACCTATTCCCTGCCCCTCTCCCCACCCTGGGCACCTATTCCCTGCCCCTCCCCCACTCTGGGCACCTATTCCCTGCCCCTCTCCCCACCCTGCGTGCCTATACCCTGCCCCTCTCCCCACTCTGGGCACCTATTCCCTATCCCTATCCCAGGGCCTCCACAGAAGGAGGTGGCTGGGGGAGAGCTCAGAGCTTCTGCTCTCCAGGGTGGACAGCAGGGGTCTTGGGCTGTCCTGTCCAAGCTACCCAGATGGATGCCCACACTGGGTCTTGCCTTCTTGTCATCCGCCCTACCCAAAGCTTGTAACTCAGCTCCCAGCAGAGGAGGCCCGATGGCAGAGACTGAATTCTCAGCTCCCGGCACAGGAGGCCCAATGGCAGTGGCCAAATTCTCAGATTCTCACTTTGCCCTTAGCCTTGGCCTCCCACCTCCTCCCTAGGGCCCTATTTCTAAGAACCTCCCCCGCCCCTGATGCCCTTGGTCATAGCACTAGGCTGTGATCTGCTAGGGTTAGGGAGTTCCTTCTGGGTCTCCGCCTTGCACCCGGAGCCCAACCCTGAGCCCAGGGATGAAGGGAAAAGCTTTAATCTCCTGTGCACATCCTCTGGGAGCCGAGGAGTGTTGATCCGGCAGGATCTCAGCCACAATTAGCCGGTTCCCTCATCCCTGCCCTATAAATATTCATTCTGGGATTGTTATAAAGGTGCTTTTTATAAAAAACGCCAAACTCATTTGGAAAGGAGCTGAACGCTGCGCAGTGCAGGCTGCCAAGCTGAGTCCTACTGCGGATGGGACGCCAACATGGCTTTTTCTCGTGGGCCCAGGCAGGTGCTCTCTGGGGTTTTGTTTCATTTGAGCCGGGGACTTTTTGGTTCCCTGCGTGTAGCATTTACAAATATGGCAGCAGGCTCGGGGTACCCAAAGCGGGCGTGTCCTCCTCCTCAGGGGTGCAGGCCACGATGGGCCCCTGGAGCTGGCAGCCCCGGGCAGGGTGTGATGATGGTCCATGGGGAATGTGCCTCGGGGCCTTTCACTGAGAAGCAGCCCTTACCCCCAGGGCCCTGTGCTCCCACCAGCTTGGTCCAGAGTCATCCTGGTGCCAGCCTCCACCAGCCCTGTTGAGAATCAGGTGATCGTGACCCCTGGGCGGTCGGTGGATCTGGGACTGAGCTGGAGGTCATCCGGTCCGGCTGCCCTCCTGTCACTGATGCTGGGTGCTTTGGTTAAATGCTTGTGCAGATGGGAGTTCACTACCCCAGAGCAGCTGTAGGAGGATTCAGTGAAGTCCCTACCCTAGAACCTCTAAATAGAGGG